GATAGAATGAATGTAAAACTAATGTTCTCCCATGTAAACTGTCACATAATTCACAATAAATCATTTAAGAAAAAAAAAAAAACAAACCCTATACAAGGTTGCTATAGTTGGAACAACAACAAAAACAACAACATAGATTGAAGTCAAGACTTTCTTTAGAGACAGTCTAGAAAGCAGAGTCTGTATTAAAGAGTTTAGGTTTCAAACTCTTAAAAGCAGTAATACTCATAGCCTAATATTACCAAAAATGTAAAGAAAGAGAAACAATATTTAGTAAAAACTCACAAATAGGAAAAACAATCAATTGTATATGTGAATACCCATGCACTGTTAAGTAAATTAGCTGATCTGACATATTTTTTTTTATCATGCTGTTGTTTTTGTTATGTGCAATGGAGTTGGTTCCGACTCATAGCGACCCTGTACAGGGTTTCCGAGGCTGTGGGTCTTTACAGGAGCAGAAAGCCAGGGAAGAGCCGGTAGTTTCGAACTGATGACCATGAGATTAGCAGCCAGATTCATAACCAGTACGCTACCAGAGCTCCTTTTTTTTAAATCATAGACTCACTAATAATTTTTGCAAGAAAATCTACAAAAATCTAAATAAAAAAATATTTGGTCATTCACAGGTTGTTAATGAGTCTTCCTCCAATCCTGATGCCATGTTTTTCTTTATTTAATCCAGTCTTAGAATGTGCTCAGCATACAGACTGAATAACCATAGTGAAAGGCTATCACCCTGGTGCTCACCTTCCCTGATTCGAATCATGTTATAGTACCTCATTGTGTTCAAACAACTGCCTTTCGGTCTATGTACAGGTTTCTCATGAGCACAATTAAACGTTATTGAATTCCCCCCCAAAAAAAAAATTTGGGAGGGGGGGGCGTGTTTAACCTGAAAACCAAAAAGTAGTCAAAAATGAGCATCAAATTTTGCTGAAACGTTCTCTCTCCTGTAGCACTTTGTACAATTTCCAGTTACCCTTTCATCAGTTTGCTTGCCATTTCAAAGCACTGTATGACTGAGACAGTTTACTGCCAGGTATGAGTCAGAAACTGTGCATCCTAGTCCCTATCATATATATATAAGTGCATTTATAAGCATGTAACAGAAATACTTATGATTAGAAAGTGAGTATTGTGTGACAGATGTTTCACATATTTACCTTAAAATATACTTTATATGTGTGTGTGTGTATGGCCCTGTAGGATAAGCAGTAGACTGCAAGGTCAGTGGTTCAAACTCATCAGCTGCTCCTCAGAAACCCTGTACAGGGTCACTATGTATCAAAAATGACTTGACAGCACTTAACAACAATAATGAACAATCAATGTATACATATGTGAAATCAGGACAAAAGTAAATCTTCAATCAATTTCTAATAACTGGATGTCAATTTGGTCTCAAAGATTATATCTCATAAAAAGCAAACCAAACATGGTGGTGGTTATGTGCCATGGAGTTGGTTCCGACTCACAGCAACCTTCTGTAGGGTTTCTGAGACTGCAAATCTTTATGGGAGCAGAAAGCCTCCTCTTTCTACTGCAGAACTGCTAACCTAGAGATTAGCAGTTCAATTTGTAATCACTATGCTACCAGAACTCCTTAAAACAAATATAGAGTAGATGAAATTTTTCATTGTGGGAAAAAGGATTTAGTTTTACCCTAAGGAAGGAGGCCTCTGATTTGGATACCCACGGCACATAACAACAACAACAACAAGATGACCTTTGTAGAAATTTAGGTGCTGTAGTAATTTGTGCTGGTAAGTGAGGACTAGGCCGAGCAGAAAAGACTCAGCCAGGAGGCCAGTATCAACTTGCCTCAGGAGGCATGATTTAGTCTATCACAAAGGACTGGACAGTAAAAGCCCTGAACACCAAGGGATTAAGGGGCTTCCTACTTTCATCACTGGGAACTGTCCCAGACCTCACCCTTCATGACTCTTATACTATCTTTTATTAGAATAAATTTGTAGTCTTAAATATATTCTCTGTGAGTTCTGAGAATCACTCCAGCAAATTATCAAGCTCAA